CCCCCCCGCCTAAGCCCCTGCAAGTCCAGGTAACTGATAAAATATTGTTTGTTTTTTGAAGGAATCACACACTCGAGCTGTGAGGTGCTAAAAAAGTATGGATTATTTACTCCTTTTAACGGTCCCAAAGGACACAGGATCTGCTACAACGGGAAGTTCCAGCATTCATACTTTCTCAAGTATAACCTGGACACTTTACGAGCCATCGCGTCGAATCCAAATGCTCTGCCTCTTCTCTCCTACATATCGCTGAGCGTTGGCCATGATCAGTACGGTAGACGCATTCAAACATTTGATGAAGCATTGTCGCAGTACGTACAGCAAGTTGCACAGGACCCTAACACCGTGACTATAGTGTTAGCAGATCACGGCAACACGTATACAGAATACACCGCTACTACACTAGAAGGACGGTTCGAAATGTTTCATCCAAGCCTATTTATCATCATCCCGAATGAAGTTGCCAAGATGATTGGTAAAGATGCCATTAACAGTCTTAAGACCAATCAGCGTCGTCTTGTAACTATGATTGACTTACACCAGTCTCTGATGGTATTGGCGGATCCCGTACCCACCACAGGGATCCCACCTAGAGGTGTTTTTACTCCAGTTTCTCCTGAACGAACGTGTGATAATGTCGAGCTACGGACGCCAAATCTTTGTGTCTGTGACGGATGGGATAGCCCAACTACTAACGATACCTTAAAACTTGCCATGGTCGAGTTTGCAGTTGGGGAGCTGAACAATAAACTTGCAGAATGGTTTATTGAAAAGCAAAGAGGGTTTCCGCTGACCCGTTCTTGTAATCGTCTACAGCCAATAGGATTTAGGAACGTACGCGAGCGCAACCCCAAAACTGACGATTCTCTTATCACGAGTTTTGACATCATTGTTCCTGCAGGAGACGTCGTACCACATCAACAAGAGACTTTCAGAGTCGAAGTCAAAACAAACGTTTCTCCTGACTCCCAATCGTTAGGCATGGCACTACTTCACTACGATAGACTAACGATGTTTGGGCCTTACAGCGCATGCGCAGATAAAGACATTAATCTCAAGCTATGTGTCTGCTCAAAACTTAAACGAACCAAGCGAAACACCACAAAAAGTTTACTAGAGAAGTTAATGGTATGGAAAACGTCTCATTTTGTCGACAGCAAAGTAAGGTTTGAAACCATCGACGAGGAAGGATGTTTAACTTTGATCGAAAGAGTACACGGGAAGGGTGACGCTTATGCTTACGAATTAGCGAACACATGTATGGACCAATCATATACCGTGGTGCTCGAGATGAATGACATGTATAACATTAAAGTGTCTCGTGACGGACCAATAGAAACAAAGGTTGCACCAGGGAGTGTTCGATTTGTGTTTTCAGCCAGGAAGAGTCTATCCTATTATCAAGGACAAATTTCGGTCCAGGTAGTGAGCATCAAATAAAATTAAATAAAATTATCTCATTATAAATTAATAATTATTTATAATTTATAGATTATAAGTTGATAAATGAAATAAAATATTGTTATTTTATTAATACAAGCAAGCCTGACAATTATTTCGAGTTCAAAAGCGTCGAGGTGAAGATCTGCTGGAGGACGAGAGGAAGTTGCTTGGTGTCCATGCACACGAAGGCGTGACCCGAAGGCAAAGCCTTTACCAACCTACAACAAAAGTACCTCACTAAAATATATCAATATTAAATATCCCAAAACGCGTTGAAGGGGGGGGGGGGGTAGGGATGGGGTATAATATCTAGAGCAAATTACTATTGATATATGCGGGGAGATGAATAAACGCGTAAGGTATGCATTTAGATCCTCAGAATTGCACTCGCTGAAAAGTTTTCCCATTTTCGACCACCTGTTATAATAATATAATAATAATATTCTTTGTTCGAGCTGCATGCATATTACTAAATCTTTCTCCAAGCGCTATTGGTAAATAAAGAAACGATAGACAATGAAGCATGGTCTGAAATGGGATAACAAAAAATAAGTTCTATTTGCACAAGCTCCGTCCCCTCGCATGATTGACGGAAATACAACCCTGAAAATCCAATTGTAGTTTGGAAAACGAACGCTCAAGAGAAAAGGAATTTCACAGTAACGGAGAAGTCAAACAAACAAAGCCCATAAAAGGTCTGCCTATTCGAACTAACACAAAAGCCAACAAACTTACCTTTCTGCTTGGTTACCAAGCGAGCCAATGAAAATAGCGAACGCATTGACCTGCGAATCACTAGTCAAAACCTTGCCAAAATCCTTAGCAGATATCCCATACCGTTCCAGGTTAGCATCACTCAACACTATCACAARGTGTTCATCAGCATCTAACGCTGCTACTCCCTTGATAGCATACGACGTCGCCTCGAGTGTGTAATCACCGCTCATGCAGTACTGCGCATGCGCGTGGATTTGCTTCATGACGTCAAGTCGTTCGCGGTTGTTCTTGGGAAGGGAGTTGTCGTTGACGAAGATGATCTCTGGGGATTCACCTGAATGGCCATATATGTCGTACTGGAAAAAAAAAMAAAAAACAAGAGTACGAATTGAATTACGTATACTGTGTTCTCTATAGTGTCCTCTACAAGACGATATACCCAAAATAGAGGTTTTGAACCATCGCATGACGGCAGCCGCAGGAACAATACAATCGTTTTACATAGGAAAGAATTAAAAACAAAACAATAAGATAAAAAGTATGAGAAACCTTGATTTTGTCGTCGTACTGGTATAAGGCCTCCATCACAAGACACGCTGCTTCCATCATTCGATCAAGTCGACCATCAAGACCATTAAATCGATACATACTACCGCTGACATCCACCACAAATCGCAAGCGCTTCGGAAGACGCTGAGGTGTTCCAAGCTGCAAAAAAGACAGATATAAACCTTTGAGATTTTATGTAAAATTCACACTAATACAAATACACAAGACTGGCAAAAAAATACCCATGCCCACATACCTCAGGGTCTTCCTCTCCCCTTTTCTTGTAAATGGAACGTTCTCCCGTAAGACCCTCTATCAGCTTGGTGTCATCAAGCTCTCCAGAGGTCTGGTGACGAAGCCACACTCGTTCACGGCTTTTCGCCTGCAGCCCGTCCAAAATAACGCGTAGAGACTGGACCTGACGACGAACACGTGACGAGAACGCCTCGTACATTTCTGCGTCATATTCACTCATCTGAATTTCGCGAAGCCTGGATAAGAGAAAAGAGACTGACCTTACCACACACGGGGTCCAAGGAACTATGGAATGCATTTATCCCTACGGTACCCCATGACACACTACACTATTTCGTCCCCTAAAACAGTCCCATAATGCACTGCAATGACAACTCGACCCAGTTTTTTCCTCAACCTCGCAATGTCTAATACGACATGTTTACCTTTCTTTGAAAGCTCTCCTTGCCATCTCTCTTGCTGCTTTCTTGACGTCATCAGGTACGTCATCTTTCTCTTGGTCTGATAACTGATGTACATCGTGTCCTGCATCTAGTCTGTATGGTCCTCCTTTACCACCGAGACCTGCTGTATCACGCCCACCTGTCCCACCAGCCCACGTGTTACCTCCCACGTGAGGATCACCTGACGGATCCATCTGCAATGTTCTTTTTATTATTATTATTCAATCATTAACTCCCTCCATTTCTTTCCCATTCTTTATTTCCCATCCTCTATTCATTTCTCACTCATTCGCTCCTCTCTTGTTCACTCACTGACACAGTAACCAGCTCGTTCACACTCACTATCTCGCTGGTTCATTTATTCATTCATTTTTTTCCATTTCACTTTGTTACCACTTCTCGTTCTTCCCTCCTCTGCCACGCATCAGTTCAATACGACTCTTACCTTGCCGTGTTTTGGAGCGTTGACGTCAAGTCCGCTGTCCCGTGAATAAGTAACCTATGTTAAATATATAGTACCATTAATATTCGTCTCTTTGGAATCACGGTTGTGCGCTATTTGTGCACCGCCTCCCACCAAAATGGTCGTGTGTTCTAACCACTGGCTATTATTGTTTCTATAGTTTACTGTCCTGTGAAGAGAATAGAAAATCGCCTCGTAATCCTTGAAGTACTCTTTAGAAGTTGTTTGTGGGTCAAGATTTTAATTCCATTGGGAAATCTGATGCAACGGTGATTGGTTCCCTATTGTCTAATCTTTTAAAACAAGGACATTCTATTTATCAATTTGTTTCATGCAGTACAATGTAAGAGACAGTAACTCATAATTAAAACTCATCACTCCCTTGTAAATGACCGACTCTTTCGTGAGGTTCTCCCCACACGCACTACTATATTCACTAGCACAGTTGCATGGTACACAGGGACATAGCAAGGTCTCGATTATGGGGGGTGGGGGGTCAATGTACCATTTTCCCGCCAAATTCACAGGAATCTCGCATGAATTAATTAAATTTTGGTGACGAAAGCAAACTTTTGTTGGGGGGGGGGTGGGGGGGGGGGGGAGCACGTGACCCTCTCCCTACGCTAGTGATGATACTGCTAAGCAAACAATGGCTCATACCTGGAGTTTTTCTTGAGGATCCCTTCCTATCAACTTCCTCCAATCACCAAACGAATTTTCCAGATTCCTGAACCCAGTCTCCCACATCCGTACCTGACCGACAGCATCTACAGTTACCAGGCCATCATCAGAGGTCGGTGCCATGGCAACGGGTTCATCTGCCCAGCGGGCATACAGGGGTAAAACAGAACTCCCGGGTAGTGGAATATACCGTACAGTTCTTCTGCCGATGTCCACCACTTCAAGATATCCTGTAGTTTGTATTGTGGGTCTTCTAAGGATATCCCTGGGTTGTGTTTCTTCAGTAGTTTTAGCCTCATCTGGTACTGRCGTCTTCGAAACAACACGAATGACTTGACCAGTGGCTGGAAAACTTACAGGGGTGACAGAATCGAACGATAATGTATCCGTGGTAGGGTTAGATTTTTTGGAATTATTTTCTGGAACGAAAAAAAGTTGGAGGATAATTAGTTGAATGTTACGAAAATAAATGGCTATTCTCTCACCACTGTGGTCCGGGTTCGAGCCTCGGCTCAGACTGGATCACATGTAAGCTTTTTATATGTGTTGTTCTCTCCCTTGCCACGGGGGTTTGTCTCCGAGTTCTCCGGTTTTCCTGCCTCCGTAAAAATCAACACGCCAGTTGGGTATTGTAAATATGGAATGTAGTGGTAGTGCGATTCTAGTAGTAGAACCCACGGAGGAGCTCCGTACGGGGAGTGGTAGTCTCCCACACAGCCGCTTTCAGTGTCGTCACGCAACGCGCTCTGCGACACCGAAAGCGGCTGTGGGGGAGACTAGGGGAGTGGTGGTTGTAAAACATGACTCGTAAGACTTGTTTATTTACCTGATTTGACCTCAGTGGACGTTTCTCTTGGGAAGGTATAGAGACTGACAGGTGATTTGATAACAAGCTGGTCAGGCTGAGCCACTGCAACAGTTGCGTAATTCGAAGTATCCGTAAGTAATCGATTACTCCTCGATCTCTTGTCGTCTCCTAAAGCCGAGCTTAAGATATTTGATGGGAGGCCACGAGTAGATATCGATTGCCAATGAGATTCGTCGGTGTCATCGATCGTATCACTAGTGACCGGGTAAAGAACACAAGGCACTGGAGCTTCCGGGTAAGGTTTAGAAAGCAAATACTTCYGGTCCGTACCAGTCTCCCCGAGAAGCCATAGATCACGTGAGAATGGATGAAACTGGCCAATCACAAACGGGAACGTCATATGTTGAGTGACGTCACCAACTACATCAACAACGTCCATCTTGTTGGTGCCTTCTTGGTAAATCGCGACCCAATTTTCTTGTGAAAAATCTGAGCACATTTTGAATTTATTCTTTTGTTGCACTGAAAAATGCCGGGTAAGCTTCCGTTTAGCATTTTTCGCAAGAGACTGAAAACTTAAAAATCGGACGGAGCTGTTCTTGGGGTCAATATGCATCAGCATGTTAGATTCTTGGTCGAAGAGTAAAACTTGCCCTGTTAGTTCTTGTCCAAGAGCAGCCAGTTGGATTTGAGGAAGAATGGATAAGTACGCTCTGGGAAACAGCTCGTAAAGATCAGTCATCGTGACGGCGTGTTGGCTGGTTTGAGATGAGAAGAGAGTTACCGGGTTAAGAGCTAAAGTATGGAGCCAGTCCCCTCGAATATCACCTGAAACGACGAATAGTAAGTTGTATTATGGGCGCGGGCACATGATGATGCAAAATTATTTTTTCATCAAGTGAACATCTCTCATCAAACAATAAGTGAAAGAAAAGCGATGATAAGCCAAACCATGAAATAACGCACAAGAGAGGGACAAGCGTGACTAAATACAAACCTGGACCAGTAGTGACAGCATTAACAAAGCTACGAGAAAGACAAGCGTGACCAAATACGAACCTGGACCAGTAGTGACAGTATTAACAAAGCTACGAGAGAGACAAGCGTGACTAAATACGAGCCTGGACCAGTAGTGACAGCATTAACAAAGCTACGAGAGAGACAAGCGTGACTAAGTACGAACCTGGACCAGTAGTGACAGCATTAACAAAGCTACCCTCGTGAAGAGGGAGGTTCCAGTGACTCAGTTGTTCTGTGAAGATTCTTGATCTATCGACCATTTTATCCAGGTCTTTCTTCGATGTCGCAAGGAGACTCGGACCCTAAAGAATTTAAACCCGTTTGTATTATTTCCTCTACTAGTTAATAAACTTATCTACTTTAGGGCGTAATTATTTCCCATTTCAGAAAACTTCTCCGAATTACCTAGCGTAACCTTCCTTTAATAGTTGTGCATGAGAAGACACATGAATATGGATACRATTCAAATACAAAATCTTATTCTAAAGAGAATGACACGTAGTCCGAGATATTACACACAAGATAGATGTCTTACTTAGATCGAAATTATTAACATTTAAGCGATAGAACTCTACAGGTACGGAGAAACACAAGGCAAATAGCCCGACTTGTGTAGGCGCGCTTGGCGAAACTTAAAAGAAGTATTTGCGCGCACTTCAAGAGAAGAGGTTAGGGATAGGTGAGGCAGATAGTGCAGAGAAGGGGAGAAGTCGTCTATCTTAAGACCAAGATACACAGGTTATATTAAATACATCCCCCTTATATGTCCCAAGCCGTTATCATTTTGATGTGACATCTGCCATTTTAAATAAAAGCAAAATACGAAATACCGCTGACCAAAATGACAGCGAAAGATACGCTTTACAGACAATGCACGGCCCGCCGTGTTAGTACAGTAAGTGGGATGTCTGTCATCAAAAAGGTGATTCACCTTAATTTTAAGTTGACGCTCTTCGACTGGACAATTGACAACTTCACCGGCACCAGGCTCCCCTTCTGCTATTTGCCAGTTAGCCAAGAAGACTGGAGCCGACAGTGGTATCCTATGAAGGAACACAAATGGTATTTGCATCGTATAACAAGTTGGCGTGTGATTCCTCTTGGTACGAACAAGACTTCGTATGACCGTGAAAAAAACGTAACAGCACGAGTTGCGGCTATAAGCATTTTGATTGGATAAGAACTAAAATCGCGCGTTGTGATTGGTTCAAAGAAAGTCGTCAATTCTCTACCGTGTTCGTGCCGTGCGCGTTTTGTTTCACAGTCACACGAAATCTGTCCTAAAATAGGAATGTTAAAAAACCATGACACAKTTGTACCAGCATCTTTAGTACTTTATTTATTATAAAACTAAACTTGCTTACAAGTTTCCAGGTGTTCACATTTGGAAAGACAGACAATTTTATCAATTTAGCAATGGTGGAAATTCCCTTAATTCAATATCCAAGAAACAATTAATTAGGTTTATTTATAAGGTCCTTGGAATCTTAAAATTTACAGAGAGACTACATTAACCAAGACCACCCAAATTTTAAATCACATTCACAAATCACGTTTTTAACACTGAATAACAGGTTGGTGACGAATTCTGGAGTTTCAACTGTTTCTTGTTCACTCCTRATCATAAACACACACATGTATAAAGTAAAATATATGACTTTAAATAATAAAAAAATAGTGCAGATTCTATTGTTAAAATACTCAATTATGATTGGATAATTTGTATGAAAATTTGTTTGGGTTGCCTTGGTTGGTCTAATAGTCGCACTGCAAGATGAGTAGACAGTTTTCTCAAGGTTGCGTGCGCATCCAAATTTAAGGAACTTGATGGGCAACGATACCAGAACACGAGTATTATCATACATTGCTATTATATATATTTTTTTTCGATAAGAATTCATAAAATCAATTATTCTCCTCTTTAAATATAAAACTGTCTTCTCAATTTTACTGAATTTGCGTCTTTAAGTTTTGTGGCCCGTCAAGTTGGATGCGCACGCAACCTTGAGAAAACGGTCTAATATTAGTTAAGAATTGTCTTGGATATTATATCCCATGTCAGTGAACATGTGAGAGTGTACATAAAAATACTCTTGGTAAATTTAGAATCTTAGAATTTAATTTTTGCAATAGCAAGAATGAAGTATTACCAATAATTAGTATTTATTGATAATTGATCGAGTAAAAAGTGCTTACTCTTTGACAAGGTTAATACTAGCAGCGGAAGTACCCATTGGTATCCCATGCTTGTGCATCACTTCCGTAACCACGTCTCTCACTTCGGGATGGTACGAGTCAAAGTCGAACACGTTACGAACAACACTAGCCACACCCTCGTCGGAGAAGGCCTGGGATGAAATAAAAGTAACTTATATTAGAGTGTATACAATATATCCGTGAAATAGCTAACTAACAAAATCGTACGAATTAGTGCAAAGTTTTGTAGGTCTACGATTTACTGAACTTACTACGCCTTACTAATTTGTGCAATGGTATACCCTAGAGTGCAAACGAACGAGTGGACTATCACAAAAATATATTGAAATATATTGAAATATTTAAGTATACAAATACATGAATGAATAAAACAAATTCTAGCTGGCTACTTCACTATGAGCCAATCAGTGTTAGCGACAAATTGTAGAGAGGACAAATTTTGAAAAGTCTATTGTGAATCCTGCCTTATGATAAACATTCGACGACAGATTGAATTGGATTTTAGTAACTGACTTTTACAGATGGAATAAAACGGAGAAAAATCCTCGCCGCACAGGAAAGAACCAACGAGCAACTCTACTCACATACAACACCGAATATGAGAAGCGAACCCGGGTTACATTGGTGAGAGGCGGCAAATGACGAGGTTTCTGTTATATACCTGTAAATGTTTGACAACACTGACGACTTCTCGGGTAGAGTAAGGGTAGGATATGAGACCTTGGTCTGCTCTTGATCGAAGCTCGCCAAATGCGTTGACTAACTTGACCAGGATATCTTCAGGGACTGACGGGCCGTACTCACGTAACATTGCCTGAAGAAAAAGAATGAAATAAATCTAGAGAACGTACGGGTGAATAAACAAACGAACAGAAGAACGAGCGAGCGAAAGAAAGGACAAGAGGACGAACAAACAGATAGATGATGGAGAATGAACGGTAGAACAAATAAACTTGGGGACGAGAGAACGGTATAAAGGAAGAAAGTCCAATATACTGGAAACATTTCAGAAATCAATAGAAATAACAAACAATGATCTAAGTTTAGTCAAAATGAAAACGGGAAATAGATTGAGCAGCAGTAAGGGGGACTCGCGGTCACCCCTCGGAATTACACGGATATTCCCCGTGCTCACGTAACAGCGTCCGAGTCGGGTATTACACGCGCGCTGATTCCCTTACTGCTGCTGGGTACCGTAAACGGAGGTTAAGATATCCTTTACATATAGATGGACGCCATCACGAGCATTAGAAATAAAACTGTGCGCAAACTGAGAACTCAGGTGTTGGATCGCCTGGATGCTGACTTTGCCTTTACAACGTTTATGGAGGGCGATACG